AAAACGTTGTCACACAATCACGGATAGTTTACTACACAAGCATGGTGATTGATTCTCCGACTGCTGAACGTGGTGTCTTGAATTTTGCCATGGTGATGTCACACACTGGTTTTTTTAAACATCAGCACCTTTACAAAGTAAATACCATTGAGGCCTGTCACAGATCTTCACCCCGTGGTACGAACATTGTAGATAGTTTGTGTCATAATACCTATTTATAAACCGCAAGGTGGGTAAGTGTACCATACCCCTGTGACATCAGCCGAATACAACTCACGCCACATGGACAGAGCCAATACAGAAGGGATGGGCGGAATACATATTCGACATTGACCCCTTGGTTTACTCCAGTAGAGGAATTTCCAAACATTATGACTGATTACAGATACAGATTGCATAGAAAAGTTTTTAGCAAATAAATCAGTAACCATTAACAAATTACAAATAAATAAACGGTTTAAAACCATTACACAGCTATAATCTTAACAGAACAGCCTGTTTTAGGTCTCACACAACTAAATCAGCCAATCAGCAAGTGTTTCATACGATTGTAATCCCTACCTAAAAATTGTTCCGGTTTAATACAGTGCTTCTGAGTAATTCAAATAGGTAATATTTTACATTGAATGAAATCTATAGATATTCGACTTTAGGAAAAAATGTATAGTTTTAGTAGATTTTAAAATGTGATGGCGGATTGATATGGGGTCAAATGTCAGGGGAGGGGGGGTTCACGTCCCACTTCACCTGTTGGACTTACCCTAATACTCAGGTATTTAATGAGGATTGTATTCAATTTACTGAAATAATTGATCTGCATGTTTTTCAATAGTACTATAATGATCTGTGTACCAGCTTTTAGCACCTGAATCTTCACAGAACAGAAATATAGTGTGCTGTCCTGCACAATTATCACCCCCTCCCTTCCATCCACCTCTGCTCAGTCATTCTTAGGTCACTTCCCTCATTCAAATTATATTTATTTCTGTGCTTAAAAGACAGCAATGACTAAATTCAAGTTTAAAAACTCAATATCTCTAAAAATATTTCAATTGAAAGTTAAAAAACCTGTTTCAGCATACCCCCATGTGAAAAGGTACACCACAGATTTTAGCACAAGTTACATAGCACATTATACACACATTTTAAAGCACATTTTTGCATTAAGCACCATTTTATTGTTCGATATAATAAATGTGCTCATTCCAAGAGTATGAGAGTTGTTAGCTGACTTCTGCATGAAGTTGTGCTGTAATATTTTCATATTCAGCCTCCCTAGATTTGAAAATGATTTTGTTGAGTATTATGATTTTTTATTTTTTAATTTTTATCATAGATTAGTTGTCTCTTCATTACTGTTATACCCTGTACAACAAGACTATGAACAGCAAGTAGCCCCTCAGCACCAAAGAACAAGCTAAAAAAGTTGCACATGTGAGTTTCTTTAAGTGTATGTGTCACATGTAGGTTTTTTGGGTAAATAAGATATGTACCTGTGAATCTGGACAGTTGTCACTAGTGTTGAACTTCAAATATTAACGCTATTAGCTCAAGAGTTTAGTTGTGTGAGTCCTCTACGGGCGTCGTCTAATAAATAAAGTGTGAAACAATGTACACTGCCATCTACTAGCCCGCGTAAGGTATAATTGTAACCGAAGTTAACAACTGTAACTCATTATATAAAAGTATGCGATATACCTCACTGTTTGTATGTAGATGCTTACATTTGGATTGTATTTTGTCTAGCAGGTCTTAGTCTTGATATACACGGGTTAAAATTACGTTTTTCACGAGCCAATGAAACACATTGTTTCTATCACGACATTCAATAATATTTACAAGATATAGAATATGAAAGACTTCATTTCCAAATAATAACGAAACACTGAATAAGTAAGATATACAATAACAATATAAGATAGATTAGGAACGACACATTATAATGTAAGAATAACATAATTAAAAAAGAATATATCAACAATCACTCTACAATATATAGCGGAATACACAGTAGCAATTACAAGTTTTACAATGAAAACAACAAATTGTAACTATATAATTCATGTTGATGTTGGCAGCGTTTCACATTCCTAAGTATGCCGACATATGATTTAAATGGAGTTTGCTAGGCGTCATTATTACACATGATTCCCGTATCGGCAACTAACATGTAAATGAATCCCATATTTAACAAATAAAGTGTATATTGCTAATACGTGTATGTGCAGTGGGCGTGAGGAACCTATATCTCACGTCAGTTACCCCCGGGAATCTCTGTAATCTCTGTACTGTATATTACATACGTGTGTACGTGGAAATGAGGAGTGCATGAAACATGTGCTTTTCGCTTGACAAACATGTTAAACGTTACTTCAAAGACTATACAGATTACGGTATTAAAAAGATATATTTAGAAAGAGACCCGGATTGATAACCGTACTGTTAAACACTGATACAGCACAGGTGTCACATAGTACACACGTATACGTACACTGTATGTAACATATGGGCACAAAACACATTGTCATCGGAGTAATTTTTTTTTCAATGAACCGTCAAAATACCAGTTAAACTTCATATCTGATATTTAGTCAAATTTACAGAGCAGTCGGAATATTCGGCGCACCTCAAGCATTTTTTAGTTGCAATTAATCAATCCAATGAATCGTAGAGCGTTTTTCAATTTTGAATTAACACATTTACAGTGGTCTTTTGGCTGCTTCCAGTTGACCAAATTTCAAAGCTGTGTTTGCCGATTAAATGGTTAAAATTGTCACTCAAATAAAGCCACGTATGTGTTCTTCAAAACTCATTTTTGAAGTAGAATTCGGCACATATATCTATAGTATTACAGCATTTACGTTGCACATATAAAAGCTTACCATGATATGCCGAAAATGTAAAAAAAAAAAAAAAAAAAATCATTTTAATGAAAGAATTTTTCACTAAAAAGTATGTTGAACATTACGAACATTGGTAAATAATTTGCCATTAGCAGGCATTTAGCAGGATATGAAATTAGTTTGATCACACCAGGCATCCCTTTTCCTAAACCATTCTTCTATATAAAGAACACATTTACTATCGATCATATTAAGCAGGATCGACGTCCTCATTTCTGAGCTATACACATGTGCGATTCGCTGCTATATATAAACACACGCGATCACTATAAATATTTCAAGGTAATAACCGCTCTCTCTATATATAGACCGTAATTTTGCGCAAGGTCTAAATCAGACTAGACGCCAATGAAGGTGCATTAAAATACAAGGTAATTAAGGAGAGAATGTTATTATCAGCTCGCTTGACCGAAGGGCAAGTGGGCTTATGCCATGGTGCAGCGTCCGTCGTCCGTCCGTCGTCAACTTTTTACTTTAAACATCTTCTCAGTAACCAAAGGGCCTAGGATGTTGAAAGGACTACCATGTTTGTTCAAATTAATGGCCTTCATCTATTTTCAAGGTCACAAGGGTCAAATATGTTAAAATAATTTAACAACTTCTTATGCATAACCAAGAGGCCTAGGGTAGCGGTATTTAGCCAGTAAAACATGCTGGGACAAAGGGCTACTAAATATGTTCAAATAAATGACCTTGACTTATATTCAAGGTCACAGGGGTCAAATATTTAAAAAAAAACACACTTTAAACAACTTTTTTGAATAACCAAGAGGCCTAGGGTGATGATATTTGGCCAGTAACATGCTGGGATGAAGGGCTACCAAGTTTGTTCAAATGAATGAACTTGGATTTTATTCAAGGTCACATGGGTCAAATATGTTTATAACCTTTAAACAACTTCTTCTGAACAACCAATAATCAATAATCAGGAAAAAATATATTGAATATGTACATGTGCCGTATATTAAATTTTACAAACCGTCGAAGTTTCTACTTTGAATAATATGAATATAAAACAAGCGATTTTCCAAACTTTAATGCGTTTTGACACACAACATATTTAAGTACCAACTTTTGGGCTGTTGATCTTAAACATTCATCTTCATATTTTTTTTTTTATAATTTGATATTGGAGATGCTTGAGATTAGGGGAACGAAAGTCGTATTTTAAAATACCAATCTACAAATCGCTGCGTTGCTGTCTAATATCCAAAGGTAAACATACCACGTGTATGTAAGCTGCGGAACTTGTATGTTATGATAGATTGAATATTATCAGCCTTATTTATCTTGGTTTTAGACTCATTTTGTTAAACAAATGTATCTATAGTATATATTACTTTCAATTATGTCTGAACAAGTTAGATGCTCCTGTATTTAAATAGGCCGTTTGAAAAAACACAAAAAAACAACCGTTACGTAGTTTTGTTTTACATAAGATGACGGACACATGATTTCTCCTACCTTTTATCAGAGACGTATACATTACATATACGTCTCTGCTTTTATCAATAGACATTGAATCAATGTCGTCCATGAATACCTAATTGACATTATTTATCTAACATATCGTCGTAAGTTGTAAGGAAATCAAGAACTTTAACAAACATACACTGTTTTTGACACGGAGACCGAGTCACCGAATGCACGTACGTACATGTACGTAGCTATTAGTGAACGAACTGAACACGCCGATATACATATGCTTGTTATGGGTCACAACACATCTAAGCGTACACAAGTGTGCTGTGACCCATATCAGCATACAGTCTGTAGCATATATGTGTATTTTAGACATTTGTAACGAACCCCTGTGGCCTAACTTTATACCTTTACCTAAGCTAGGAAACTCTCACTTGTCACACATCTACACACTGGCATTGATAATTTATTAGCAATATATAACAACCTGAAGTCCTATACCATACCAATGGTTAGGAAATATCGATAAATACACAAATATACCATGCCTCAGGCACATATATATCCACATGTGCACACACATACAAATCACAATGGAAACCGAAACTATTTTTAGCTATGACTATACCAAGGAAATAACCTGTCTAAAAATAGACATTTAGGTAACTTCATCGATTGAATCTAGATCTAGCGCCCATCTCCTGCAAGTAATCCAGCTTGAGCGGCAGACTAAAAGACGAGGTAAGAGCATTCACATCATTGATATAAAATATGTTCGTTACATTCAAAATACGATGTACATTTACCTTTATTATAATATGTGCAATTGTTTTCGCGGAGCTGTAATAACGATTGGCAGTGTGAAACTCTGTAGCCCGAGTTTCCTCTGGCCCTGACACCAGACTTAGACATTTTGTCATATTTATGACGTATAACAGATACATATAACACAACCAGTGAAGTTTTTATTTGTAATGGCTAATTAAGCTGCGTGAGATATAGCAAAGATTAACTAACTATTAATATAAAGAAAACTAATAAATAGCATAATAATTAGCAAAATTAAGAAAACTATGAAAAAAATACAAGATAAGAATCTTGAATTAAAACTTATTGTATATAATTCATCTATACATATAGCTTCAAATTGATCGATCAGAAGAAAACATGACCGTCAGCATTGATAAATGTTAGAGTATGTTAAGTCGTGAAAACCGAAAAATAGTATCTGCCGTACCCTTAAAGGGTATTTTATTTTACAGTCCCACATATTGATTGGAAAGTTACAATGTAGCATAAAGAGTTTTTATTACTGATTCCTCTATACATGTATATCATTGAATATCACTATATTTCTATGTCGTATAAATAGAAGGTTATACGACAGAATTATAACCATAGTGTGAAATGTTTTGGAACAAACATTTCACACTAACTATACATTTTTTTTTATTGCTAAAGTTGTCATAAAAAATTACTTGGCCTAGGGGACTTTGTTTGTATAAACGTCTTTGAGACTGATGGACGGGGCAAAATAGGTGAAATGGAGTATACAATTGCTAGGCATGAAGAGACAATAACAATTATACTACCGGGATTGTTCCTGGTTCAGTCTCGCACCGGGTGACTTAGACCATTGTTCATAATATGGAAACAGTTGAGATCATATTTCAACAAAGTTTGGTTTGAAGCATTATCCGGGTCATAAAATCAAATGTTACTGCTTATAAACAACGGTGTTGTCTTAACCTGATACAAAGAGGCGATGTCTAACATGATTAAATATTTGTAATATTACAATTAACGATATTCATGCTACGCATTTAGCAAAACATTCACTCCATTCATAAAATGTAACTGCTTTAATTTCATCCAGAAAGCAAGAATATCCTTAAATATACTTTGTATATTATTTCTTAGTTAAATGTGTTCTATTTGAAAATAAGTATGTGGTATTACGTTTAAATTCGAAGCTAAGAAAAATACACTGACACCTACTTCCCGAAGATATTTTTCTGATTATTATACTTTCGTAATGGTCTTTTCAGTTGTCATGGGTGCAGTTCCAGATTTGCAAGACTTCGTGGGACTGGATCGGATTTACACGTGTATCACATGTGAACAAGTACTTAGTGACCCCTACCAGTTAGTTTGTGGACATCACGTGTGTGGGGAACACCTACAACACATGTTTGTTAACAACAACTCGTTCACCTGTCCAGGCCAGGAATGTGGCTCTATCACTGAACGTAATCAGGTGAGGATGCACATTTGTAAAGAAAAACACAGATTCTCCTGTAGTTGTCAACTTCTAAACATATATATCATGAAGCTTGCCTGTTCCGAAACAGAAATTCACACCTGTAGTTTAATTGTTCTAAGCTGTAGTAGACCTCTTCCTCAACATATTATCATCTATAGATGTCCGGTCCCAAAACACTTAACCTTCAGTTGTGTCTCATTATCACCTATATGTAGTTGTCCTCTCCGAAACACCACCTATAATTCCCCCAACACCTTTCCCCAGCCGTCTCCCTTAACACCACCTATAAGTACCCCCAACACCTTCCATCAGCCATCTCCCTAACACCACCTATAAGTACCCCCAACACCCCCAACACCTTGCATCAGCCGTCTCACTTAACATCACCTGTAAGTACCCCCCCCCCCCCCACACACACACACAACACCTTTCACCAGCCTTCTCACTTAACACCACCTATAAGTTCCCCCAACACCCCCAACACCTTGCATCAGCCGTCTCACTTAACATCACCTGTAAGTACCCCCCCCCCCCCACACACACACACAACACCTTTCACCAGCCTTCTCACTTAACACCACCTATAAGTACCCCCAACACCTTCCATCAGCCGTCTCACTTAACACCACGTTTCTCTATTAATATAAGACTGAGTGTATCACTATGTGGCAGGTATTTCCTGATGAAAGCCGGAAACGGGAGATCACGGGTCTGCTGGTCAGGTGTCCGTACCGGAGAAGTGGATGTAAAGAGATCATTGAATGGAGGAATCTCCCGGTGAGTAAATTGAAAGGATGGGCTGGCTAGAAAATCTTCACTAGAACTACTATAGAAAAAGGTTTTAGATTGGAATACTGCACTGTATAATAGTATTATATGATAAAATTGCCACCTTGAACACATAAAATATGACTCTAGATGTGCGATATTACATTACCCCTTGTACATAGTTTACCGCAAGCATATATACAGTTTCCCTAAAACTAAATTCAAAATATTGTCAACAAAATGATTTTGTTTTTATATTTTTTTTGTCCTATGTAAACACAGGACCATTGCGAGCTGTGTTGCCTGACAACTGTGGTATGTCCCAATAAGTGTGGCGAAGAAGCTATCACTCGTGGTCAGGTACGTATTACAGCGAAATGTATCAATACCAGTCCTTAGTAGTACTAGCACCAACCCCTAACAATACTAACAATGACCCGAAACAATACTAGCACCAACCTCAAATAATGCTAGCTACAACCCGATTCAATACTAGCTACAACCCAAAATAATACTAGCACCAACCCGAAACAATACTAGCACCTACCTGGAATAATGCTGGCTACAACCAGAAAAAGTACTAGCTACATGCACAACCCGATACACTGCTAGCTACAACGCGATATAGTACTAGCACCAAACCGAAACAATGCTAGCTACAACCCCAAACAATACTTGTTACAACCCGAAACAATACTAGCACCAAGCTGTAATTCTAGTACCGACCCTATACATTCCTTGTTTAAACTGTATTATTGAGTTGCTGTTATTTTCAAAAAATGGGGCAGTTGCGAGATACTGGCTACAGGTCAGTGTTTTGTCTCAGGATACTCTGCCTTTACTCCACCACCAAAACCTGGCACATCCTTAAATGACCATAGCTGTTAATAGGATGCAAAACATCAACAAACAAACAACAAAAATGAGTCCATGATCTCCAGCACCTTCCAAAGTTGTCGCCCTTTCATTATGCTTTGTGCCGTTATCTCTAAGAGCTTCAAGGGGACACCATTTTGGGTCAGTTCAACATTTAGCTATGGCTATTCTGATGACAAACTAACATACATGTATTTACCGTTATTATTATACCTCTACTTTATTTACTCTATATAAAAGTAATTGGTTAAATAGAATATATCCCCACTTTTGCCTGACTGTGTTTTAGTCCTGTGTGTTAGTCTGGGAACTAAAACACACCTACACTCGGGTGTTTCCGCCGAGCCAATCAGGCGGTAGGTGGGCGGAGCTTGTTGCCGAACTCGGAACCGACGCACGGGGTGGGCGGAGCTTGCTACCGAACTCGGAAGCGACGCGCGAGGTGGGCGGAGCTTGCTACAGAACTCGGAAGCATGTTTGGCTCTACTGTGATCAAGAGTTGATGGGACGTGAAGCTATACAGCTTATGGTTTACAAATAATTTCTAGTTAAAACTATCTCTCCAGTGTGTATCGGTATAATAAAACGGTGAAAGTATGGGGTTGAGGGATATGGCAAGTTTCTGGTGTCCCTTGACCATGCCTATTTCCCTCGGCTTCGCCTCGGGAAATAGACCTGGTCTCGGGACACTAGAAACTTGCTATATCCCTCAACCCCATACTTTAACTGTATAATATCTTTAACTCTGTTGTGTGTCTCCAAGTGACGCTAAATCTTTGTTTGACAGTTACACAACCACTTGCAGGAGTGTCCGTTAAAGACGAGTGTTTGTCCTTACTCCGAACACGGCTGTCCATATTCGGTAAGTCTAAAGAGAAAAGTATATACAACTCCTTTTATGTTAAATTCCAAGACCGAATATAACGAAATATTTAGAATATAGAAATTAACATGAGAATAAATGTTTAGTGAATAAATTAAACAATACGATTCCCTACATCATCTAACAAAGCAGAAATTAAGAAGAAAAACGTATTAAAATGAAAACATTATAGACTTTCAAAAACGGGACCCTTAATACAAAGAAAGATCTTTTTTATTTTATTTATAAAGCGACTTAATGCGTAGTATACAACAACAAAGTAGTGTAAACATTTCAACCAATCTATCAATGTCCTGCTAATGATAAAGGTCATTAATAACATAGTATGCATATATATGACTTTCCTCTGGGCACCACATATTGGGCATTACCATATACTAGCTACATGAAGTAACTCCTGTTTTTGAAAATGTACAAATAGTCACAATATGTCCAAGAGTTGGTGTGACCCTACCAGTAATCTAAATATCTATTTGCTGGAATTGACTTTTGTTAGTGGTTACACTTCACTATTATATAATCTGCTTTGGAGGAGTTACTTCCCCTTTGTGTATCTACACTGCTAATACATGTAAACAATGTGTTCACCACCGGATGTAGCTGTAAGGAGAGGACATTTATCGGCAATGTCTGATGTCCAATCCTGTTGACTACTTTTGTCAATAAAATAAATCAAATCAAAATCAATCAATCAATCGATATATCACTCGATGGACCATCCATCGCTTTGAGTGGCTTATGCTAGCTAGATAGGGCTCTATATCAAATGTTGGATATTATTAGTATTATCCAATCAATCAAACAATCAAAAGGTGGCATGAAAATTAAACCAACCACCAAACAAACAAAAGAATACTAGAAAGTGACATTTAAATCTCAACAAACCAGTCAATCAGACGATCAAATTAATACAATATTGTTGTGTTCCTGTTGTTTGGGATCAGTACATGTACGAAAAGTTTTTCTAACCGCTATTTTAGGGTACTGATCGGGAGCTGAAGGAGCACGAAGAAAACAATGTGTCCCTCCATCTTTCTATGGAGTCCAGGTTTCGCCGGGAGAGGGAAGAGCGGGAGAGGGCTGAAAACGCCGAGTTAAAGGTACCGCGGAAGTGTAGATGATCCTTGAATATATATGCTGCAGAAAAAGGCACCATCTCTTCACCATTCAAGTCGTTTATTTACATATGACAATGGGAATTTGTACCAATGTGATAAAAAGATGTCTTTGCTCTACTGTTAAAAAAACAATTTGTATGTACACGATGTAATATCATTTTATTCTATTCTGACCTTCAAATTATATTACAATATGAATTGTTATATTTCATCTGTTTTACAGTGTGTCTAAATTGTTTAAACACATGACTTTCAGTTGACATGGCTACCAAAAACAAAAAACATATCTCCCGACAGCAAGTGCCCCCGTTCGCAGTTTAACATTTGGTCACATGATACTGCGAAGTATCTTAGGACCTCTCCTGATACGGAAGGAAGAACTATTATATATTAAGGGGTTTAATCGGCGTCCATCTCCTAACTATGCTACATGTAGGAATGATGGCAAGCTTTCGAAGCATGGACCCCAAAACTTTCTCGCTTCAAAAAATAGATTTTGGGTGGTTTAACAATCGTGATTGATATCGTTGTAGTGAAGCATATTTTGCCTTTCACCAGCATTTACATCCGACGCAAATCCCCGTTCCCCATAAAAAAACATGTCGTTTTTATGTTTTAGTTTTATTTGGGTCTCGCGCGAATCCACGCCATCTAATCGACCCGTTATTTAAGCTTTACGAGACATGCCTTGGATGACCACCATTACAGGATGATAGTTTAACGATACGTTGATCTGAAGCCCTTACACGTAATACAATACTTCTTGCATGTCCGGGGAGGAGGTCCAAAACATACATACATACATACATACATACATCAGGCCCCAATGGCAAGATATGTATATACATGTTTGGCGGGGGGTATGATGTATTGTCTCCCGGTCGTGGGATGTATTTAAACAATCACACACACTGTTACATCACTTTCTATTATGTGTCGCAACTCCCAAACGTGCAAATAACAGCAGTGAGAGTAATGAACATGCTTTCTAACGGCTGGAAGTGTATTTATTGGTTGAAAAATGACCTCACAGTACTTAAAATGACAGTTGTCCAGCTGAAAATGAAGTTTCATTTTGATGTCATGCTAAAAGGAATTTTTTGCTCGATCGAAAATTTTGTATATTCTATAAGTGTTTTATGATAACTTTACAGAGACAAATGCGTAATGTGCTGGAAGTGGTTGCGGTCATGAAAGAGGAAAACCAGAAACTTCACGAACAACTTATGAAAACCAGAGCAGAGGCAAGAGACTTGAAGGTAAGTATCAAGCTTTAAGGACATTTTGTTATATATTAATTTATAAGTATACGTTTCCAGGTAGGAAGAGAGGAAGTACGTAAAGCCATGGGCTGCACAAACATTTGTAATGACTGGATATTAGGACAACCAATAAACGGTGGCGTGATTGTGGGTAAACCGGGTTAGTGGTGGCTGGATAGCGGGAAACTGGAACAAGCGGATTAGTGGTGGCTGGATAGCGGGATACTGGAACAAGCGGATTAGTGGTGGCTGGATAGCAGGATACTGGAACAAGCGGATTAGTGGTGGCTGGATAGCAGGATACTGGAACAAGCGGATTAGTGGTGGCTGGATAGCAGGATACTGGAACAAGCGGATTAGTGGTGGCTGGATAGCAGGATACTGGAACAAGCGGATTAGTGGTGGCTGGATAGCAGGATACTGGAACAAGCGGATTAGTGGTGGCTGGATAGCAGGATACTGGAACAAGCGGATTAGTGGTGGCTGGATAGCAGGATACTGGAACAAGCGGATTAGTGGTGGCTGGATAGCAGGATACTGGAACAAGCGGATTAGTGGTGGCTGGATAGCAGGATACTGGAACAAGCGGATTAGTGGTGGCTGGATAGCAGGATACTGGAACAAGCGGATTAGTGGTGGCTGGATAGCAGGATACTGGAACAAGCGGATTAGTGGTGGCTGGATAGCAGGATACTGGAACAAGCGGATTAGTGGTGGCTGGATAGCAGGATACTGGAACAAGCGGATTAGTGGTGGCTGGATAGCAGGATACTGGAACAAGCGGATTAGTGGTGGCTGGATAGCAGGATACTGGAACAAGCGGATTAGTGGTGGCTGGATAGCAGGATACTGGAACAAGCGGATTAGTGGTGGCTGGATAGCAGGATACTGGAACAAGCGGATTAGTGGTGGCTGGATAGCAGGATACTGGAACAAGCGGATTAGTGGTGGCTGGATAGCAGGATACTGGAACAAGCGGATTAGTGGTGGCTGGATAGCAGGATACTGGAACAAGCGGATTAGTGGTGGCTGGATAGCAGGATACTGGAACAAGCGGATTAGTGGTGGCTGGATAGCAGGATACTGGAACAAGCGGATTAGTGGTGGCTGGATAGCAGGATACTGGAACAAGCGGATTAGTGGTGGCTGGATAGCAGGATACTGGAACAAGCGGATTAGTGGTGGCTGGATAGCAGGATACTGGAACAAGCGGATTAGTGGTGGCTGGATAGCAGGATACTGGAACAAGCGGATTAGTGGTGGCTGGATAGCAGGATACTGGAACAAGCGGATTAGTGGTGGCTGGATAGCAGGATACTGGAACAAGCGGATTAGTGGTGGCTGGATAGCAGGATACTGGAACAAGCGGATTAGTGGTGGCTGGATAGCAGGATACTGGAACAAGCGGATTAGTGGTGGCTGGATAGCAGGATACTGGAACAAGCGGATTAGTGGTGGCTGGATAGCAGGATACTGGAACAAGCGGATTAGTGGTGGCTGGATAGCAGGATACTGGAACAAGCGGATTAGTGGTGGCTGGATAGCAGGATACTGGAACAAGCGGATTAGTGGTGGCTGGATAGCAGGATACTGGAACAAGCGGATTAGTGGTGGCTGGATAGCGGGATACTGGAACAAGCGGATTAGTGGTGGCTGGATAGCAGGATACTGGAACAAGCGGATTAGTGGTGGCTGGATAGCGGGATACTGGAACAAGCGGATTAGTGGTGGCTTGACAGCAGGATACTGGAACAAGCGGATTAGTGGTGGCTGGATAGCAGATTATCGGAACAACCGGATTGGTGGTGGCTGGACAGCAGGATAGTATAAGAACCGGATTAGACGCGGCTTGATAGAGAGACAAATGGATAAGAGGTGTATATAGGGGCAATCGGATCATCTTCTTCAAACCTTCATTATTTTACAACGGTTTTGACATAGGTTCTTTCGTGTTGTATTTATCATTCTTGCTGACGGGATGGAATACATTGTAGATTAAGAGTGTTAATGTTGGAGGTAATCGGAGTACCTGCGGAAAACCAACCAGGTCGGACAATTCACTTTACCTCTCAGAATATCAATTATTAATAATCATTGAAACTTCCTTACTCTAGTTTTTGCCAGCAATTCTAACGACTCTATGTATTGATAATCTCCGTAAGCCACTGTTGATGTTTTTGATGTCTTCAAGATATCCGCCATGGCCTCTGATTGGTTGTTTGTCAGACTATCATACCGTAATGCCTTCATGTATATGATTCATTGCTTGGTACATTGATGAGCCGTATTTTCTGTCTCTAGTTTGAACTTTTATGTTTAAAGATAAAGTTCTAGGAAGACTAGAGTATTCATATATGTGGAGAGATGAGATGTTAATCTTGGTGATTTTTTTACCCAGCATATCTCATTCAAGATGGCTGCCACCAGTAATTTCCCAGACTATAGTTCCCAGATGGTGCTTACCGCTGTTTCTGAAACAGTGGTCACCTAGATGATGATTCAAAGATTGTTCGTTCTCAGATGTTGGTAGCCTAAGGTTTTCTGATGTTTGACAAAAAAAGTTAGAACCAGAAAAAGCAAATTGCTCAAATAACGCAAACTACGCTATGACAGTCTGGAAAACATGTCAAACGAACCCTTATTTGTGTGAGCCAAAGTAGGACGCCGAGTTTATCAACATCTAAAAAGTTTTTTTTTGTTTAACAATTCCAAGGGGTTGTGTGGCTTAAATAGGGTAATTATTCCATTCTAAGTATTGTTCCAAATATGTCTTGCCATGAAATAGATAGATATTGGGTTTAGTTACATTGAGAAAACTTCCCTTTTACCGTAAATGATATTACCGACCAGTAAGAGACCGTTTTATTCGAACACATTTGGTAATTTTTTCTTTCTGTTTTTGGTGTACCTTTTTATACTAATTTCGTAGATTTTTATTTATTTATCGATATTTAAACGATTTTTTTTTTAAATCAAATGTTCATGCTGTATGAGCCGATGTGCATGTGTATGACGTTGCTTTGGTGTCATCCTGTTTGGCATCTATGGTGAATCTCGCTTCCAATCTCGTGTAATGTTTCAAAAGAAAGGGAACAGCATAAAGTATAAATTTTATCCATTTTCGAGTGAGTAATTGTATTTAGAAGAAAATTATTTTTGTGTCCATGATAATGAGTAATCAGACATGCTAATTGGAAAGGGATGAATCTAAAATACAGATAGTTTTAAAATGATAACACGAGTCAGATTTTTAAAGATATAAACAATCGACGAAACAATTTAATCCTCTAAACGCTTCGGGTATTGCCTAACATTATATAAATAACATGCATGTTTTCGGTTGTAAGCTCATGTGCGAAGTTTCATGTGCAAAGGGAGTTAATTATCATTACTCTATTCGAGTTACATCCCTTCGATCAGGTCACAGCACGGTAGCTGGAAAATAAACTTTTTGACGTCTGTGTTACAGAGACTGCTTAGTCGCAACGTTTTCTAATGAACTGTTTAGCTATGGATCAGTATTTTATTCCCTTCTTTCGCCCTCCTCTGTGAACGTATCTGTTACATCGTAGATGACCGTTTGCTATTGGAAGTCATAATACAAAAAGTCCCCTGCGTTCTGTCTATCAGAATAATGTTGCTCCTTGTGCTAATTATAAGTGTACCAGTAAGTGTCGCCACCTTGGGTTAAGTATGAGTGCAATGCTGACCTTTGTTTTACGTACATACGTACCAGAGTAGTATCGGTGTAGCAGTTTGTGTATCTGTATAATCTGGCACGGCTTTATTATATGTGGCCGTATCAATACAGTGACACCGCTTGTGATTGCAGATACTGATGGTGGGGTACGGGGAAAAGAGCATCCACGTTCAGCGAAAGCTTCAGGACCTCGTAACAAAGGAGGTTGCCAATAAACTGTCTAATGACGTCAGTACTCTGAAGGACAGTTTAATTGCAAGTAACGAAAGGCTCACCTGCATAGAAAGGGCGGGACATGGACCAGGGAGTGTAGCCGGTAGGTCATTTTATAGTATATACAATGTAAATACTTTTAGCCTCTAACAGCCGAAACTAGATCTTAAAAACGTTTGATAAAATTGTAATATTCTGATTTGACAATGTTTCGTGTACCTATACTATATAACAGTCTTTCATACAACATGTACAATCATATCCCCGACAGCTCCAGCATTATCACAGCTAGAACGTCGAGTGGCCCTCTACGACACCGAACTCAACAAACTCAATTTGGAGGTTCGGCTTCTGGAGACAGCGGACCACACCGGAACTCTGATGTGGAAGTTACGGGACTATCAACGACGAAAACAGGAAGCCATTTTCGGAAGGACTCAGTCGCTTTTCAGTCAACCATTTTACACTAGTCGTTATGGTTACCGTATGTGTGCCCGTGTGTATCTCAACGGCGACGGGAATGGCAAGGGAACCCATCTGTCTGTCTTCTTCGTGGTGATGAAGGGGGACTTCGACGTTCTGTTGGAGTGGCCGTTCAGACAGCAGGTGACTCTGATGTTACTCGACCAGAGCGGCACGGGGCAGGACATCCGGGAGACGTTCATACCACAACCAACCGGAAACAGCTTTCAGCGCCCCCAAACGGAAATGAACGTGGCATGTGGTGTTCCCCGTTTTTGTTCCCTGGACAGACTGGAGTCGGATATGTACCTTAGGGACGATACCATATTCCTAACGGTGAAGGTCGACTGTGCTGATTTACGAGTTCTATAGAGACAACTGTACAAAAGTAAAAGTCGTAGAAGCACCCTGTTTAATTCTTACAGTTAGTCGTAAGTACAATTCATTCTTGCTGGATAAGAATGCCTACCATCAAATCAATAATGATGCCCCCCCCCCCCCCCCCCCCCCCCCCCCCCCCCCCCCCCCCCNGCACGCCGTGGGACCCTGCTGATCAGCCGCGTTGACAGATAAGCTATACAGCGTCGAAGGCCCCACCCCAGGGACACGCCTGTCCTGCTGACTGCTGACAGATCGGGGTATACATTTGGTAGTTAGTCTGGGAATCCTGTAGTCTGAGTGTTACGATCGATCACGATGGAGACGCATGCGTCTGACACTCAATCACAAATCCATGATACTTAAATTTGATCAACGTAGCTTTGAGGATGGCTTTATTCTCGGTACGGTTCCGGATATTATCGTACTCCTGTACTGACCGTACCAATGTGATAATTGATACTTGTGGCCCCAGTCTTACATGTACCATTAATAAAGTAAACTTTATATAGTTTACAACAAGATTTTTTATGACACACGTTTTTACAACTTATATGGATCAGTCTTGTTGGTCTGGATCTTAGCGCGCGGAGGGGGGAGGAAACTGGAGTACCCGGAGAAAACCTACGTGGTCGGGCAGGTGTTAGATAATCAACAGTCCCCATAACTTTTCACATTCGATCGAGGAATCAAACATCACATTTGTAATTACTCACAACTTACAATACCGTTATACATACTTATATCTGATCACATGCTGGATAACGTACTCATCAGACACTTCAATTAACGTTAAATCGGCATCGCCACTAAACAATATATAATGGAATTTTGCATTCTTTCTGATGTAAATAATATAAATTGTATTTTCTGTGTTAGATTACACTACACATCAATGTAATTCGCTGTATTCTTTAGGTTTGAGATGCATCTTTTTCACAGTTATGAGGGTATGCAACACAGTTTCGTTCAAACATATTTCATGATGCGCAATGTTAAAAAGATGCATTTCATACCATATATTTACGTTCTATCACATTCACTTTCATTATTTGAAATTAAGAAAAGGTAGGTAAATACTGTATGTTATGTTTTCCCTACGATGTGTTGTACAACACAAGGAATAAAGAATCTGATCAGTCCGCTCTGATTTGTGATAATTCTGGTCTTATGATCAAGGTTGACGTCCACCAACGCCACCGCGCGCATTTAACGATGAGAGGACACATGTACTGTAATGATAAATGGTCACTATTTAGAGTCTAATTGTCCATGGTGTTTTGTATCTATGTTGTTTGATTAAATGACGAAAAGACAATATTTGAGCTTATTTTTTCACAGACTTCTTTGTTTCTAAGAAAAAAGTGACAGATATTCTAAATGTTACCAGCTGACCGGGTTGTTGGTCTAAAATCCTGTTCAGAGTTACAGGAGTGTACTTGCCAAAAGATAACAGCTTTAATTTCAATCTTACGTACATGGGACCACGTGATATACATTTCCGTTGTGCAGCGTCAAAATAACCCAGCACAGCTTCATGTGTTACATGTGAATGTTTTCCAATTGGAAACTATTTGGGTTTTCCGTCATATGGTTGAATAGATAAACATAGAAAACATTATTTGATTACTGATCAGTTGGTACGGTCATTGGGTCTGAAGACTTGTTCTGATGAAATTGCAGCAAGGGCAGAATTAAACACAAAAGTTGACTTTAAAAGCTACAGAAATGTAACAAGTATGAATTGAAGGGTTTCAAGTTGGAAATCATGGCAATAAAATATGTATATCGCACTGCTGTAGCAGAATTCTTAAGTACATGTGATACGTCAGCTACACAATGTAATAGACTCCAAAGTATCTCCAGCGGTGACATTTTGTCAGTATACTTCAGTCACAAGCTCCATATTCGTAAAAATACACTGCAAAACAAAACGGTCAAGGGAATTTTTCGCGTTTACGACAACACGAGTTACGTCAAAAACCAATGTCCGAGTATTGTCACAATACTTCGGAAACAGTTGAGGGAAGATTGTACATGTATCATCCTTATCTATAGGTGACCAGTTATAACGACCAGCAGGTTTCCTCCATTTCTCGTCATTTCCTGGTCGCCTCCTCCCCTCGACGAGGTGATCCCCCGTCATAACCTTAGCAGGCAGTATAGGTTTTGTCGCACAGAAAATAAACGGACATATAGCTTGATGATCTACAATAGTATGATGCCACCATTCAATTAACAGGTCAGTGTTATCTACCTCCGCAATAAATTAACTTACTAGACAACTGGCATCTGGTAATGCAAATAGGAACCCAGTAGATTAACATAATATACTGCGATCATAACCAACCTGTTTCTAGAAATTGTCATTATTCAACAAAGGAAAGCCGACAATATCTTTGAACGACCTTCAGCTGCTTATAAAGGGTCAGTAGGATACTACAGCAGGTAGGTGGCTTCAGACAAGGTTTACTTACCTCTTCATACATCTTTGTGGCCATGTGGACTAGTCAGCGGTAAGTCCTTAGCAGGAAGACGTTGCACATTTCTCCACGACTTGCCCCTATTTGTGTGATGTCTAAGAGGTCTGAATTACATAAGTTACTGACAAAATAGGTCTGAAATAAATTACTGATATAGGAAATGAATTACATTAGTTACTAATAAGGGGCCTGGTTACATAAGTTACAAATAGGGTGCCGGAATTACATAAGTTACTAATAGGGTGCCGGAATGACACAAGTTACTAATAGGGTGCCATAATTAGATAAGTTACTAATAGGTTGCCGGAATTACATAAGTTACTAATAGGATGCCTGAATTACATAAGTTACTAATAGGGTGCCAGAATTAGATAAGTTACTAAAAGGGTGCCGGAATTACATAAGTTACTAATAGGATGCCTGAATTACATAAGTTACTTAAAGGATGCCTGAAATACATACGTTACTAATAGGGTGCCTGAATTACATAAGTTACCAATAAGGGGCCTGGTTACATTAGTTACAAATAGAGTGCCTGAATTACATAAGTTACTAATAGGGTGCCTGAATTACATAAGTTACTAATAAGGGGCCTGGTTACATAAGTTACAAATAGGGTGCCTGAATTACATAAGTTACTAATAGGGTGCCGAAATTACATACGTTACAAATAGGATGCCTGAATTACATAAGTTACTAATAGGATGCATGGATTACATAAGTTACTAATAGGGTGCTGGAATTATTTAAGTTACTAATAGGGTGCCGGAATTACATAAGTTACTAATAGGGTGCCGAAATTACATAAGTTACTAATAGGATGCCTGAATTACATAAGTTACTAATAGTGAGTGGGAATTACATAAGTTACTAATAGGGTTCTGGAATTACTAAAGTTACTAATAGGGTGCCTGAATTGCATAAGTTACTAATATGATGCCTGGATTAAATAAGTTAATGAAGGGGTGCCTCAATTACATAAGTCACTAAAAGGGTGCCGGAATTACATAAGTTACTAATAAGGTGCTTGAATTACATAGTTTACTTATACGGGGTCAACATTAGAAGCCACTGATAGTGTGCCGGAATTATTTAAGTTACTAATAAGGTGCCGGAATTACATAAGTTACTAATATGGTGCCTCAATTAATTAAGTTACTAATAGGGTGCCTCAATTAATTAAGTTACAAATAAGGTGCCTGAATTACATAAGTTACTAATAGTGAGCCGGAATTACATAAGTTACTAATAGGGTGCCGGAATTACATAAGTTACTAATATGGTGCCTGAATTACATACGTTACTAATAAGGTGCCTGAATTACATAAGTTACAAATAGTGAGACGGAATTACATAAGTTACTAATAGGGTGCCGGAATATCATAAGTTACTGATATGGTGCCTGAATTACATACCTTACTAATAGGATGCCTGGATTATATCAGTTAATGATGGGGTGCCTCAATTACATAATTTACTAATAGGATGCCTGAATTACATACGTTACTAATAGGATGCCTGGATTACATAATTTACTTTTCCGGGTCAACATTAGAAGCCACTGATAGTGTGCCTGAATTACATACGTTTCTGACAGGGTTCCTTAATTACATACGTTTCTGATAGGGTGCCTAAATTACATAATTTACTAATACGGGGTCAACATTAGAAGCCACTGATAGTGTGCCTGAATTACATACGTTTCTGACAGGGTGCCTGAATTACATAAGTTACTAATAGGATGGCTGAATTACAAACATTACTAATAAGGGGCCTGAATTACATAAGTTACTAATAGGGTGCTTGCATTACATAGGTTACTAATAGGATGCCTGAATTACATACGTTACTAATAGGATGCCTGGATTACATAATTTACTTTTCCGGGTCAACATTAGAAGCCACTGATAGTGTGCCTGAATTACATACGTTTCTGACAGGGTTCCTTAATTACATACGTTTCTGATAGTGTGCCTAAATTACATAATTTACTTATACGGGGTCAACATTAGAAGCCACTGATAGTGTGCCTGAATTACATACGTTTCTGACAGGGTGTCTGAATTACATACGTTTCGGATAGGATGCCTGAATTACATACGTTTTTGATAGGGCGCCTGAATTACATACGTTTCTGATAGGGTGCCTGAATTACATACGTTTCTGATAGGGTGCCTGAATTACATACGCTTCTGATAGGGTGCCTGAATTACATACGTTATTGATAGGTTGCCTGAATTACATACGTTTCTGATAGGGTGCCTGAATTGCTTACGTTTCTGAAAGGGTGCCTGAATTACATACGGTTCTGATAGGGTGCCTAAATTACATACTTTTCTGATAGTGTGCCTGAATTACATAAGTGACAAATAGGGTGCCTGAATTACAATTGTTACTAAAAGGATGCCTGAATTACATACGTTTCTGATTGGACGCCTGAATTACATACGTTTCTTATAGGGTGCCTGAATTACTACGCTTCTGATAGGGTGCCTGAATTACATACATTTCTGATAGGGTGCCTAAATTACATACGTTTGTGATAGTGTGCCTGAATTACATAAGTGACTAATAGGGTGCCTGAAATACAATTGTTACTAATAGGATGCCTGAATTACATAAGTTACTAATT